GCATTTCTGTGGCACCTACTGTATGCCAGGCGCGGCGCGAGGAGCTTTCCCAAATATACGACTTCATTGCATCCTCTGCGCACCTGGCAGGCTGGTGGGGTGGAGAACGTGGGGATCTGCTTCTGGCTGCAGAGTTCCTCGCCGTGGACCCAAGGCCGCACCAGACCAAAGCACGGACCTTGTTTCGTTATGTGTGGTCGTCGCCTGCCACCTCCTAGTCGAGTTGCTGCGGGCAGGATTTGGGGGCCGGGCCACGGGATTCTCTCCCCAGGAGCGGGAGCGCTCCCCCGGCTGCGACCCGGCCTGGAAAGTCGCACCCTCCAGGCTCCTCCTCAACCAACTGCCTCTTCAGAGGCCCTTTCCTGCCCCTCTGACTCTGCTCTGGCAAGCCTCGGGGATGCCAGGCCCGCCCCTCGCAGGTAGGCGGCTTGCACCCCAGTCCGCACTCCAGAGGGGCTGAGGCAACAGCTGTTTGTCTTGTCGGGGCGGGGCTTCGCCTTTCTCTGGCTGCCTTCTTATTGGCTGAGCCCGAGGGGGAGGTGGGCAGGCAGGCTGAAGTGTACTGGGCACTTGGTGAATGTGGTTGGACTTGTTTTCAGACAGCCCGGAGAAGGGAGGGAGCGAAAGCTGGTGCCAGGAAGGAGTTCCTGCCCTGCGCTCTGCCCCCACGCCCTGGCCCCTTCTGGGCTTTGTCTGGACCATGGTTGGAGACCATTGTAACCTCCCTGGAGACAGAACCGTGCTCAGCCCGCCCCCCAAAACTGGCCTGAGCTGCAAGATGGTCCTGCAGGCCGTGGGCAAAGTGCTCAGGTAACGATCTGCTCCTCCTTCCCTGGGGGGGAAGGGGCCGATTGGAGGTGCCGTTTCAGGGCTCAGCCTGGTAGGGGCTGTCATTGCCAGGGAAAGTTAGCAGCACCTGGACTGTGCCCTCTTTTGGGGAGACGGAAGAGCCCAAGGCAGCCAACACGTTTGCTTCTGTCTTAAATCTGAACTGGCAATTGTCTGTCTGCTCTGTGTGTGTGTGTGTGTGTGTGTGTGTGTGTGTGTGTGTGTGTGTATGTGTGTACACAGAGCGAGTGTGTGTCTATGTGAGTGCCCCAGGCCAAAGCAACGTCTATGAGCTGGAGGGGCCCCTTCCCTGGGTCCTAGAGAGAGAGAGAGATCCTGGAAGGAAGTCAGGATGTAAATCTGTGGTGGCATTTGGGCTGGGAGCTACACAGTGAAGCCTCATGGCGTATTCCCTAAGAGCCAGTGGCTTCTGGAGCTCTCTGAATGTCCAGGGCAGATTCTGATTAGGAACCTAATTGGGGCCAGGCCATCAGGAAAGTCCCCCAGGCCCAGGGACTCCCTCACGAGCTGAAGGAAAGCAGGGAGATCACATCTGTGGCACTCTCTTCCCTTGGAGTCCCGCAGCACTTCCCAGAACCTGACTGGTTCTGGCCATCCCTCGCCAGATGGGAAATGTGCCCTGCAGCCAGGAGACTCCCACTCCGCTGTAGTCCAGAGTGGGCCCTGGAGTCTGCTCGGCTGGGACCCTTCGAGGAAAGGGAACCTAGGGTGGGTGTGTGGTTGTGTGGGTGGGTCATTGCCCTTCCTTTGAGTTCTGCCCTTTCTCATATGGGGTGGACATTTTCCTCTCTTGTGAAGGAAGCCCTGACACACCCAGAGCCTTTGTTTTTGCCTGAGAGTTGGGCTGCTATGCTTTAGGGAAACTCGGATTCCTTGGGGTGACTCAACCAGCCGGGTGGGAGGGCAGTCCCCCTGACTGCCAGCTCTGCCTGGGTGAGGAGGTTGGGTTAGGATGCCCGATGGCTTAGGGCTGGTGATGCTGACCAGAGCTCCAGGGGGTAGAATCTGAGAGCCGCCCCCAGCTTACCTGCAGAGTCTTGTGGGGGCTGCTGGTCATTGGCAGTCAAACGGATGGATAAAAGCCTGTGCAGACTTGGCTTAGAGTTGTTGCTAACATGACCTTGCTCTTGGGGGAGGGGGTGTCTGTGAGTGTGCATGTGTGTGCCAGTATGTATGAGGTGCGAGTATATTGTGTGTAACTGTGAAGATGCATGTGTGTGAGCATGTGTGCACAGTCATGTGTGCTTTTTTGTGAGCATGTGTATGTGGTGTATGTGTGCTTACATGAGCAGGCGTGTATGAAGGAGATGGTGCTGTGGCCAGTTCATCTGCTTTCCCTGTGGCACATTTTCCCTTTCTAGCCCTCTCCAAGCAGAGGACAACTTAGTGCGGACCACAATTGTTGGTTTTTTCTTGGATTTTTCAGTTCCTTGACCCCAGACCATGCATCTAAGAAGTGCCAGGAAGTGGATGTTTGGGCTTGAACTTAGAAGTCCAAACTAGGTGTGGGGATCCTTCTTTGGCTTTGCTTTCCCTGCCCTCATCCACCCCAGATTAGCCAGGGCTCTGGCTATGAGCCACCCACCCCCTCAGAGAGGGCTACAGGGATCTCGTCAGTGTCCTGCTTCCTTTGTGAGGGGGTGGGGGCTGGGGTGCAGTAGCTACCTCTCAGGGTCCTCCCTTCCACACCAGGAGAGCTCTCCTTTCTGGGCCCGAAATCTGCTTTTCTGCCATTTTCCCCTGTTGCCCCCAGCTCTCTTTTCTGTCCGGGGTGACGCAGAACGAGACTGACCCTTCTGGAGGGATACAGGAGAAGCTCTCCCAGCCTTACTAGGTCTTCTGGCTAAACACCCCAGGTGCCCCAGCCAGTCCTTAGATGGCTCCTATCACTGAGAAGTCCATCACCATCCTGGTCACCTCTTGCACTGATTGACTGTCTGTTCCCCAAAGGGGAGGGCCTGAGACTTCAGCACTGTGGGGAAGTTCTGCTGAGAGACAGCCGAGCTGGCTTCCTCTCCCGACAGACCCAGAACCCACAGCTTAGCCCTGAGTCTGAGGAAATTGCCCAGTGTTTCCCAAAGTTGCATTCCTGACGCGCTCCTCATTGCAAAACGAGTAGTAGCCACGATGCTATTGATGTGGTCTGCCTGCCTCCTCCATCACGGACGCTCGATGCTCAGATCACGCTGGGATCTCCCGGTGTGGAGGGGTCCTGCAGTGATAAAGATTGCACCTCAGCCATGCCTGGCCTTCTTAGGTGACTTTGCCACAAGGCATCCACTTGATCGCCCCAGGCCCCTCTCAGTTTCTCTTATGACCAGCCCGTCTTCTTTTCTCATCATTCCTTTTTGTTACGTGAACAGCCTGTTAACACCAGGTGTTACACACCTGTTACACATCTTCTGCGTGCTCCTTATTCTTAATGCTCCAGAGATTGTTGTGTTCTGTCTCGAAGTCGTGTAGCCCCACTGGTAGCAGATTGGCTAAAAGGATGCATTTGTTTTGGGGTTTTTTTGGGAAAGTTTGGGTCATTGAAGCAGCCTTGACATTTACCGAAGGTGATCAGTGTCCCCTCCTCTCTTGCTGGTTCATTTTGAGCCACCCTTGGAGTGTGTAGGATGTTTCCCTGATGCCAGATTTCCAGGTTTTCTGTTTGACTGCCTTTCATAATCTGAACAATAGTCACTCTTCCTACACTTGGGTTTCCTTTGTGAATGGTTAGGCCACATTCGTCTGCATGGTTCCGCTCTCATCCAGGAGCCCCAGCATGCTGACGGTCGAGGTATCACCCACCTACGAGAGCTTGTTGAGGACCTCCTTGTCCAAGAAGACTCTGTCTTTAACTTGGGTCCTCACTGGATGAGCGTGCATTTCCCCGTGGAAGGCTGCAGCGACTTCAGAGGGTTGTTAGGCAGGGTGATTTCTGCTGTGGTGTGTGTGTGAGACTGTTTTTGGACAGAGCCTTGCAGGCGCTTTTCATTCTGCTGCCTCAGATGCTCATTTTGAATGATAAGGAAACCAAGCAGCCTGGTGGCATCTCGCCTTCTCCTCTGTTCTCTCCCGTCACTTGTGTGTTCTGAGAGGCGCCATCTCCTGTGGACTATCCCCTGGGAAGCTCTGCACGCTCTTCCCGGGGGCCTTCCTGGGCCCCCGACGGTTCTCATGAAATGTTGATGTAGCTTAGGTCGGGGCTTTTTGTCATTTTTGGATACTGGTAAGTTTCAGAGTTGTTCCTCTTAGCCGTGCTTGCGCTCACACCTGGTCCCTCCTTCCTCGGCCGCCCTGTGCTCTCCTCCAAGCCTCGTTGGGCTCGCCAGGCTACTCTGCGTCCTTGTGGCCCTCCTGCTGCCTGCCCAAGTTTGTCAGAATGTGACCCCGCATTCCAGGCGTGGTGGCCTTGCTGACTGACCTCCAGCCTGGCTTCTGCAGGTCTCAGCGCCTGCCGGGGGCCCTTTCTGGGGCTCGCGCCTTTCCTGTGCTCTGCACGTCTCGTTCAGGCCCCCTTTGAGGTCGGGCTGTGTTGGCTGTTCTTTCTGTCCCCAGTGACAGCCTGGATCCAGGGGGGCCTCCTTGGTGAGGCTCGACCAACCAAGCGTTTAGGAAGCTCATTCTCTGCCTCTGCTCTCTGAGGATGGCGCCTGCCCTAACCCTTTGCTGTCACTCTTCTCCATAAATCTTTCAGATGAGTTCATGTCCTGCCCTTGCTCTGCTGTTGGCCACTATCTCTTTCCACCAGCCTGTGAACCACGTGTCTCAGGCGCTTTTGGTGTCCTGTGGCCGTTGATTTACATCAGCTACCATGAATTACCGTAGCCTGTGTCCGCATCCATTCTGTCGTCCCGTTTTTCACGGTCAGTGATTGCCTTAAGTAGGTCAGGGGAGAGTGATTTCATTGCACGCCGTTTCTCCCCACCTTCACTCTTTCTTCCAGCTTCATCCTGATTTTGTTCTCCTAAGCCAGGGGTTACCCAGAAACTGGAACCTGGAGCAACTCTCCTGGCAGTGTCCTTTACCCTCCCTCTGGTTCTTTTCTCCAAGTCGCTCTGAAGCTGAGGACCCAGGGTTGAGGGGCCCCGCTCCTCCCAGGCCCGGTCTCTGGGGTCTGCTTGGGGGGAGAGTGAGGCGATGGACGGACAGACGGACCGGCTGCGGCCCTGGGACTTTGGGGCCGAGGCGGCTCGTGGTGCCCTTGACTTTGCAGACTCCAAGTCAGTGCCTAGACCAATCCAGCGCAGTTCCTGCCCTCCGGGAGCTTACACTTCTGTGGGGTAGTGACTGGTATGAGTATGCAGCTAAGTAAATACAAATCACTTTCCTACGAGGGGAAGGGGAGAGGACTAACATCTGGGGGTGGGGGTGAGAGTCTGGTCCTGCGAGAGGCCAAGGGGGGCATGTTCCAGGCATAGAGGCCAGCCCGGGGACAATCCCTGCTGAGCAGAGGGTGGAGAGCAGGCCGGTGTATCTGGCACATAGGGGGCCGTGCGCCCAGCCTGGAGGCTGGACGGGGATGGATGCAGGGTGCCCGTGGTGCTGCTCCAGCGGGGGCCATGCGTGGAGGGGGTGTTTGGGCAGCCCCGTATGAAGAGGATGCACTGGAGAAGGGAGAGGCAGGGAAGCCCCCTGGGAAGTGTAAGCGTGGAGCTAGGAGGTTGGTGAGTGTGTGTGAGAAATGAGGAGAAGGAATCAGGGCATGGCCGAGATTCTGCCGGGCTGGCTCCGAGGTAGTGATCTCCATGCCTGCAAAGGTGGTGGCTGCCCTGGAAAGGGACTGGAGGAGGGTGGGCAGGGTGGGTGGGCTCCTGCCCACAGGGCATACAGGTGCTGGGAGCCTGTCAGGGCCCAGCAGCAGCCTCGTGAGGATGTGAAGGGCGCCGTTTGTTGGGACTGTCGGACTTGGGGGCCCTGAGTCAGACTCCGGGCCGGAGATGACCGAGTGATGGTAGACGTGTCTCTTCCCCTCT